AAATAAATACAAATAATAAGTTTTAATAAAATAAAAAAATTATTTATTAAACGACATACCCTCTTCGTCCTAAAGTAACTATATTCTTTTACTTTGAAATTGTTTTAAATTAATTTTTGTTTTTTTATTTTTTTAGATAGATAAATTCTTTTTACCTACTTTAATTTTATTGTTATTTATTCACTTTAATTAATTATCTAATTACAAAAATCATTTTTTATCTTTTGTTTTGTTTAAGGGAATTATTTATAAATACAAATATTGTCTCTAAATTTTTAATTTAAAAAAAATAAAAAATTTATTTTAAAACAAAAAGACCAAAGAGTTACTCCCATTTTCTTTGAATAATAGAGTAGGGACAGAACTAGACTTTTAGATAAGGGGGTAATATTTTAAAATTTTTAAGTTATGATAAGTTTACGTCAATATAATTTATATGAATTTTTAACTATCAATTATGTAGTTTGTTAGTATAGTTATATGTACTTTTGATCATAAGTCTAAAATTTGATTTATAGTTTTATGGAAAATATATATATATCAATTTTTATCTTAATCACTAATTTTATGTGTAAATATACTATTTATAATACGCATGCCAAACTTTAATTAATTAAATATATTTAATTATTTTTAAATAACATACGATTCAATACCATTAAACAAATGATAGAAAAAAAGGTAAAAAAGTGGAATTAAAAAAAAATAAGAAAAAAAATTTTAAAAGTATGCTATTTAAATAAACTCTAATTAAAATAAATAGACTAAATTAACATATTTTTTGGGTAAGAATGAAGACTATATTAGTAATTTTTTTTCCTAGTACTTTATTAAAACACCCTAATTTTGAAGGTTTTTGACTTTTTTTTTTTTCTTTTTTGCAAGTTTAGTGAATAAATATTATTTACATATAAAATGTAGTTTCTTTTTTGATATGGTTACATATATTAATAAACTTTAAATTAGAATATCAAATCTAATTGTTAAATTAATAGAATATAAATTATACAAAAAATTACAACTAATGTAAAATCCCTTTTTGTACCTAAATAAAATTTTTTGTCTTAAAAATTGAGTATAAAGAAAGAAATGGTACTTTTACCTAACTCTTAAATATTTTCTTTAAATTCGAATGGGTTCTTGTAATTCAAACATCAAAACAAATTTTTTACTAATTAAAAATTAATGTATTATATTAAACATTTTTCAAAAGCTGCCCCTCTCCTCTTATGGTAGCTCCGTCCTTGAATACAAGTGGACATTTTTCATTTAAAATTTGTCTCAACTAATTTTTTCTTATTTTAAAGAATATAAATATTTTTTTCTTACTTCAATTTTATGATTATTTTTTAATTCTAATTATTTATTTTTTTATTAAAATAATTTTTTATTTTTTGTTTATTTTTTAAAGATAAAATAAATAAAAATAAAAATTATTTCTAAATTCTTAATACAAAAATAAAATAAATTTATTATTGTGAAATGAAAAGAACATATGAAAGAATTAAACAAAAAAAATTGTCACAGTCAATATACATAGAACCTAGCTAGAAACTTAAATCCATAAGTTATGGACCCTCTATAAATAAACAGACTGTTATTAATCACATTATTTTACCTTGTTTAGTAGGGAAGGGATTTAGACGAAAAGACTTTTTGTCTAAATCCTTTCCCTATTAAACAAGGTAAAATGATACTTATAGACACGTTTAAAATGATATTTGTCGACTTTTCTTTATTGCTTATAGACACGTTTTTCTTCTTCCTCTAAGTTTAAAAAGTAGTTAGAGGATTTGAATTTTGAAGTGTTTATAATCGAGCAGTTTTGATAAAAATTACCTTAAATAATGTTTGATCTAATCTCAACTTTTAAGTTTTTTTACAATTTTTAATATTGTGAGAATCATAATTATGATGAAAATTTGATTTATTAATAATAATATGTTTTAATAATGAAATCTTATACTTATTTTTATTTATTTTTAATAGATTTAGTTTGAATTTTTTTTATTTTTTAAATATAAATTTTAAATAAAAAATTAACATATTATATAAATGATAATTAAAATTTTTTTAATCAAATTAAAATACTCAATAAGAACTTCATATACGAATAAAAGAACTTTTCAATTATTATACATATAAATTGTTAAATTTTTATTTAAAATTTATGTCTAAAATATCAATAAATTAAATTTACAAAAAATAAAAAGAGAGAATGACATAACATGATTCAATTTTCTTAATTCATTCAATTCTAACAAAATTTATAGTATTATATATATTTACTCATTTGAATTCTTATAAACATTATAAAATTCACTGTAACATTAATCTCATTGTTAATAAAAAAATCAAAATCGATTATGATGTTCCACCTAATTATAGAATATATATTAACCTGTCAGGTTTTCCCAAAGACAGCTCTGTAAATAAATAGACAATCATTAATCACAACATTGTGTCATGTTAATTGGAGATTAAAGGATTTAGATGTTGCACCTTTTTTAAACTCATAGGCACTTTTTTTTTTTTCCTTTTTAAGTTTAAAAAGTAGTTAAGAGAAAAATGTTATTACTTTTTAAGCTTTAAAGAGTTTATAAACACTGTTTACAAAAATTACCTCTCGTAACTTTTTTATAATTTGGTTATAAATAATTTAAATGCTAAATATGCTAAACCAGCTCTAAATCTCCTTACCCCCCTCCCCACCTAAAACCAGACCCTTGACTAATGGTGTCACTCAATATTTGTTGAGTGAAACTTTTATTAAAAAGTATATATAAAAAGTTAAAGGAATTTTTTTTAATACTTATGGTTAAGAGTGTTTTTAAATTAGGTTTTATATATTTTAAAATTAATTATATTTCAAGTAATTTTAAGAACACATGCACATTTATATTACGTTATTATATTTTAAAAAAATTAATTTTTTATATATTTTTTAAGAGTCAAATTTGAATCTAACTTATAAAATAATATTAAATTATTAATAACTTTAATTTTTTAGTTATAAAAAATTAAAAATTAATGAAATAAAAAGTATTTGTACGCTCCATCCCACCCTAAAGACAAATAGCACTCGACGTGGTGGTCACGAAAAATCAGACGGCAATGCCTACTTGTCAATGTTATATAATATTGCTCCTACTTGTCAAAGTCTTGTTTCAATTGTCAAATGATCAGTTAACTGCTCAAATTGTTTAACTAATTAATTACACATCCAAACTAAACTTCAGATGTCCACGATTCATGGAAAAGCACTCCAAGACACCAACTCTCTTCTAATATGAATAGTATATACGCTTTTTCTTTTTATTTTGATAAATTACATTACAAGTTAATGAGTACTTACAAATCACTGCATTTACAATTACCAATAAAGTTATATCTAAGAATAACAGGCAAGGCCCTTTATTATTCTTCAAAAATTATTTTCAATATATATTGCTGGTAGGAAAAATTAAATTCAATTCTAATTGCGTATACAGTTAGAGGTGCGACAAATGAATATCACGTGGATAAATCCAGTTGTATCCTAGGAAGCAGATACTAAAAAAGTTTTGAATTTCCTGTGCCAAGGTCATAGGTTTAGAGCAGTCCACTAGCAGAGGTAAGTGGAAGATGGTGGGTATTTCCTTAAAATGTCATAATTCGACTCATTTTCCATCTTCGATGACACCATTATATAAGCCCACCAAGCTCCACTCCCCACAACATGGGATTCCATATATATTTGGGTGTAAATGTTCAATCGTCACAAAAATGCTATAAATATTGTAACATGCAAAATGCTGTAGGTGTTATCCTCACGACATCATCATCCACTTTAAGGACTTCTGGAATTTACAAGTCAAGTTCTAATGTAAGGACCAATTTGTTGACGCGTGTACTGCCTAGGTAGTAAAGAATCAATGCTTTATCGTAGTTGTATATATTTAAACTAAGTATAATATTGGCAGAGATCCAAGAGCTCCGACGAATGTGTTCCAGTAATTTATTAATGAATCATACTCTCTAATAATGCTTATTGTTCCTAGAAGAAATGAATCCTCATGATTAATTTGTTCTTAAATGATATAGAAATTATTGCAAATTACTTTGTTTTTTAATAACAATTTATTTGGTTTGAGAAAAAAAAAAAAGAATGAATGAATTCTTTGATTAACAAAATTATAATATTAGTCAATATTATAATTTGATTGATAAAAAATTTATTTTTTTCCTTTTTTTTTTTATTCTCTTAAACCAAATATATACTCCAGAGAAATGCAAAAGAGCCTAAAAAAATGATAGACTCCTCTTATTCCTTTTTACTCATCACTAAGTTTAAATCTGGAAGACAAATTCAGACGAAAGCAACATATATACCAGAAGTAGGATGGTGAATTGGTGAAGACCAGCAGCTTTATAACTAATATTTTGGAATTTACTCATGTTTATGACACTATATACTCACTCTATTTTGAGTTTCCCCTTTTACCTTTTTACGGCGGACAAGATGGCTCTCTCCTTTTATCTTCGCCTCTTTTCTGGGAGATTTACACACCTTTCTGCCCAAAGCCACTACTCACATAGAACCTACCTAGCTCTAGCCCTCCCTAGTCCTTGTATTTATACTTGTCTAATTAGAATATAAAGGTTTTTGATGCAGCCGGGATCTCCAATGGTGGAAATAATTCAAAACTAGAATATTTTTATGGTTTAAAGACAAGTTAAAGATATGTACGTTTTCTTTATATGATTGGAACTAAAATCTTAGTATATGCACAAGATCAATAAATTTATAGTAGCTATCTGTTGTTTTGTAAATGTTGGATATGTAAAATATTATACCTCAAATTAATAAATAATTTTTATTTGGTCGATAAAAGAAATCGAAAAAGAAAAAGGAACTCTTAGGACTAACATAAAGGAAAAGATTCTAAGAGGATCAAAAGTCATTTTCTATGTTGTCTAGACCACCATTCTTTTCCTCCCTTGGCTGCTCTTTAAATCCCCCTCCAGTCATCACTCCTCTCCAATCAAACTGCCCTCTCTCACCAGAGATCCATCACCAACTTACCCAAAGTTAGAAAAAAGGGGAGAGACTGCGAGAGAAAGAGAAAGAAATGGTGGGTATCCTTCCTTTTCCGCTTTTCTTAACATTTTCATTGGGTGCCCTTCTTCAAACAAAAGCACTGACTTGTCATGAGTTTTGCCTCAGGAAGAAGGAAACCAGTTAACCAGATGGGAAGGCTATGTAGATTGGAAGAACAGACCTGCTCTCCGTGGCCGCCATGGTGGCATGCTCGCCGCCTCCTTCGTTCTAAGTGAGCTTCTTTTTCCTTTTATCATCAATTCAAAGAACCGATTAATTTGAATCTAAAACTTTCCACAATCTCAATATGTTTTTAACTACTAGACTTTCCTTTAATAATTCAAGTTACGAGTTCTTTTTTTTTTTTATGTTACATTCA